TGGGGCCGTAACTTGCTCCCTTTAGTATAACCCTGCCAAAGGGAAAAATCGTGAAAATTTCGGAAGGGGGAAGAAGGGGCCCCCAGCCCAAATATAGTTTAGGGTGGCCAAAGACTGCAAACTTACTCAAGGGGAAAAAGAACCCGGGGGTGGGGTGTAAAACCGGCCCTATTTCCCGAGGCGCCCCATCAAACAGATAACTGCTGCCAAACATAAAGGGGGGCCCTGGCAAACCTACGGATGCGTTTCCGGGTACCTCAGGGAAGGAAATTTGTTCAAGACCTGTTACCATTTACGTCGGGCCCATACTGGATAGCAGCCCAGTTTGGAATCCACACCTAGTCAAGCACTCAAGAAATTAAAAAAGGTAAAAGGGTTTGCAAAAAATAGTCCCAGAGCTACGGGGATTGCCCCTTCGAAGAAAGGTTGAGGGAAATGGCCCCTGACGACACTGGAGGACAGGAGGGTCAGGGGAGACATGATAACGACATATAAAATACAGCACGGAATAGCCCAAGGTGGACAAAGACGGGATGTTCCATAGATGGGACACAGACACAAGAGGTCACAATTGGAAGTTGTAAATTTAAAAGGACACAAGTGCATCTAATGTGACATTTATTGGGGCAACGTTTCGCTCTCCAGGAGCTTTATCAAGCCATTAAGCTCTGGAGAGCGAAACGTTGCCCAATAAATGTCACATTAGTTGCACTTGTGTCCTTTTACTTTACATATTGTCGGTAATTCTACCAACTTTATTACAATTGGAAGTTGAAGACTCAGATGAATCAAAGGGATTGTTAGAAAATTTTTTCTTCAGTCATAGAGTGGTCAGGCCGTGGAATGGCCTGAAAGTAAAAGTAGTGGAGGCTGGAACCATACATAGTTTTAAGGCGAGGTATGATTAAGCTCATGGGGCAGGAAGAGAGAGGACCTGTAGTAATCAGTGAAGAGGCAGGGCCCGGAGCTGTGACTCGACCCCTGCAACCACAAATGGGTGAGTACAAATAGGTGAGTTTTACACACACACACAAAACACACATGCACACTACCCACACACACACACTACACACACACACTACACACACACTACGCAACACACACACACACACACACATACACACACACTACACACACACTACACACACACACTACACACACACTACACACACACTACACACACACACACACACACACATACACACACACACTACACACACACACACTACCACACACACACTACACACACACTACACACACACGCACACTACACACATGCACACTACACACAGCACACTACACACACGCACCATACACCACACGCATACTACACACACACGGCATACTACACACACACGCACACTACACATGCATGCACACTACACACACACGCACACTACACACACACACACTACACACACACACACACACACAACACACACACACACACAACACCACACACACACACACTAACACACACACCCCACACCACACACACCACACACTACATGCACTACACTACACACACCACATCACGGGTGAAGAATTTTCAAATATTGATAGAATGCGTATGTACGACGACTACGTCATCAGCATCTGGCAAAATTGTCATCGCACCGCTGGGGAGCGCAAGTATCAACTCACCTGTTGGGGGTTTTTGTGAGGGTCTGAATCCTGGTCTTGCTCACTGTTAGATACTGGTCACTCACTCCTGCAAGCTATTACCAGAATTTTGAGCAGAAATAGCATAGATAAGGTTTAAGATAGTGTTGGGCTAGCGAGGGGCAGCCTAGCGAGGGGAAGCCTAGCAAGGGGAAGCCTGCGAGGGGAAGCCTAGCGAGGGGAAGGGCCCAGCGAGGGGTGACGTCAGACACTCCTAGAAGCTGAGACAAGCTAAATTTTTCAACCTAATTCTGTGTTTTATAGTAGAAGTGTAAGTGCTAGAAATACTATTGGTTGTTTTAGAAAAAACGGTATTACTATGGTATTTATTAGCCCGTATGAATACTTAGAAGTTGGGCACACATACACATGCACACACACACACATAACAGGATTTCATACCTTCCTGTTAACTGACCTGAAACCCTCCCTCTCTCTCTTTTCTCTCTCAATACTTATCTCTCTACCTCTCTTTACCCATCCTCTTTAACCCCGGGGGGGGGGGCCCCAAACCTCTCCCCCC